AGCAAACAGGTAAGCAGAGCAGTTGACACTGCACTGCAGTTATATGTTTCAAATGACTGACCCCAGAAAGGAGTCCAGATTAAGCTCAGCTAGATTCAAACTGATGAAGGGAGCTGGCTCTCGAACCCTTATACCCAAAAAATCTTGTTGGTCTCTAAGGTACTACTGAACTCGAATCTAGCTGTTCTACCACAGACCAACACAGCTACCCTCTGAAACTGGATTAAGCCACGGTCTGTTTACTCTCAGCTATCCTTACCCCAAGTCACTGGCTTTAGACCTTCACAGCCACCTCTGGAGGCTTAGTGATAAAGAAAGCTGAGTGTTATCTGCATATTGGTGACAAGGACCCACTCTAAAGCTCTGGATGATCTCAGCCAAAGGTTTAACATAAAGGTTAAAGAGCACTCTTAATGGAGTCCTAATTAATTTGTTAAGAACCTTCTAATGGGCATAAAACACATCTTGGAGAAAACAAAAAGTGGATACTCAGGAATATCCCCCATGGATTTGGATAACTGAAGATTAAGCTCAGCTAGATTCAAACTGATGAAGGGAGCTTTGACTCTCGAAACCTTATACCCAAAAAATCTTGTTGGTCTCTAAGGTGCTACTGAACTCGAATCTAGCTGTTCTACCACAGACCAACACAGCTACCCTCTGAAACTGGATTAAGCCACGGTCTGTTTACTCTCAGCTATCCTTACCCCAAGTCACTGGCTTTAGACCTTCACAGCCACCTCTGGAGGCTTAGTGATAAAGAAAGCTGAGTGTTATCTGCATATTGGTGACAAGGACCCACTCTAAAGCTCTGGATGATCTCAGCCAAAGGTTTAACATAAAGGTTAAAGAGCACTCTTAATGGAGTCCTAATTAATTTGTTAAGAACCTTCTAATGGGCATAAAACACATCTTGGAGAAAACAAAATACTCAGGAATATCCCCCATGGATTTGGATAACTGAACTTCTTCAAGTAAAAGTAGCATATAACTATTTTAAATAAACAATACCTTTATATCTTGCATCTATTTCCCCCCCGATAATCTATAGGGGGGGGTCATTACAGGAACGGAGTTCCGGCTGGCTCCTGAGTTGGCCGCACCCAGCAGCAACCCATTAGCATAATAGGCCACACCCAACATCAGAAGCTCATTAGAATTGGCTACATTAGGGGTGTGTGGCCTAACATGCAAAGGAGTTCCTGCCACAAAAAAAGGTCTGGGTTTTGACAACAAGGTAAACAGAATAAGAAGCAAAAGGTGGGTGTGGCTGGATGACCACACTTCTGGTAACATGGTGGCGCGGCCTAATATGCTAATGTACTGTGCTGTCAAGGGTGTGGCCTAATATGCTAATGAGTGTCTGCTGTTGGGTGTGGCCTATTATGCTAATGAGTTCCTGCTGGGCTTTTTCTACAAAAAAAGCCCTGCTGCTAACGGTGCCACTTCTGTCATGATGCTGCTGACATGATGCTGCTGTAAGCAGAATGGATCCACAGAGTAAAACCTACACTTTTGTGATTATCTTTATACCATTTTTTTCTACTTACTGTTTCCTGCTATGTGACATCCCCTAAAGATTTATGTACCCATCTGGTGCATAATAACACCGTTCCTCTTGTTTTTGTAATATCGTAAGATGATGCTGGCAACAGCAACTAGCATTTCTGCAGTTTGTGATATATAGAACTGCACAACAATATCTGATTTCAGTATGCCTTCTGTTTCCCCTATGCAATGAAAATGTAAACAGCTTGCTTTTTACAAAAGCTTCGATGAGACTATACTTTTAAAAATAACTCATATTGAGCTTGAAATGAAATCTACTATATATGCAGGTACTGGAGGACTATAAACAAGCAGCCCAGGAAATTCAATGGGGACAGCTGCATTTTTGCATCTCACAACAGGAGAAATAGCTACTTTTTCACAGCAACATAGGAACAGATGAAACTGTATTAAACTGAAAAAGGTGGGTACCCTAGGTATTGACCTGGAACCCCTTTATAACTGTGGTGAGGTAGCAATCTTGCAGGTGGTCAGGAGGAGAATTTGGGATATAGAGGCGCAGATCATTAACTCCGGCAGTCTTGGGGTTTGCTCTCCCTACTCATTACCCCTCTTTCAGGCCACTTTTTGTGGTGTGTCATCCATGGTACCGTATATCGCCAATTTGACAATCCCAGTTTTTAGGAGGGTCTTTATGCTTGCAAGGTTTAACCTTTTCCCTTCAGTAGTGGTCTCAGGTAGATACAGGGATGTTCCGTATAAGGATAGACTTTGCAACTGTAATTTTGGGGAACCTGATTCTGTCACCCATATTCTTTTTCGTTGTCCTAAATATTCCGTTATGCACAATATTTTGATTCGCCCTCTTCTCCCTTCTCAGAGAGACTTTCCGGATAGGGATTTAAATCTCTTTCTAGCAGACAAGAGCCCAGCAATAACGCTATCTGTTGCAGAATTTCTGACCCATGTATGGAAGTCAAGAGTAATATTCTGTAAATCTTGTAAACCATGCTAGGATTGCCTTGTATTTTGAGATATTGGGAATATTGGTTGATGTTATTTCTTGTACCCACCCTTTAACTTTTTCCTTTGTTTATCTATGTTATGCCGAATAAAGGTTTTCTGTTTCTAGTGACTGAGTCGATCTGTTGAGCCCAGTATGGCCTTGTCCTTTTGGTAGTGGCTGCAGGGTCTCAAGTAGAGATCTTCCCCCATTCTGCTACCTGCAACTCTTTAACTGCAAGAAACAGCAGCTGAATCTGGCAAAGAATGTGTTCTGCCAATGAAGTATAGGGCCTCCCCTTTGATACAAAGATGAAGTGCATGCAGGTAAAATTTCCTATGTTGCGGTTTTTGAAAGCCTGTCAAAAATAAACGTAGCTACTGCTGAGTCTAGGTAGCTTTCGCTTCCGCCCTCCCTCAGTCCATAAGTGAGCAGCCGAGCTACCCTGCCTGCTTCCACTCCAATCCTGTCCTCCTCCGCTCTTTCCTCCCACTCCCTGCATACTGAGACATACTCACTGCTCAGAATGAAAGTGATCCATGCCTGTGTTGCAGTTTCAGACTGAGCCACTCTGCCACATCTGAAAACTTCCACCCACCCCTCAATTCATATGTGCGTACATGCACAAATACAGGACAGGATAAATGTGAAGTCTGATTCCTGCAACAAATGTCATTAATTTCAAAACGACACCTCTACAATCAAGGCTTTGTAGATCTGTGTGTCTTAATGACAGAATTCAGCTTCACTAAGGGGCTGGATTGCATAGACAGGGTGCCTTTTTTTGGCTTCATCTCCTGGGTATTGCCGCCAAATGGATACCCAAGAAGCTATGAGTGACGGAACTAAATAACTATCCCAGCTGAAAAAGTTATTCTGCATTTAGCTCTGTGCTCACTATGGCTCTGTTTTCCCAGCAAATACTGACAGCAAAATGGGGTACTGCAGTTTAAGTATACTTTGGCTACACTCCACCGAACCGTTTCACCCCCAGAGCTGGAAAAGAAGCAAGCTTTGGACTGCAGCCTTTGACACGGTTGCAATACTGTTTGGGAAACTCAGAAGACAAAGCTATTCCAGGCTCTTTGAATTTGTTTTCAGAACCATTCCCTCAATGGTGCTGCCAACATGGAGAAAAATAGGACACTTGCACAAGCAAGTCAAACCAGGCAGCGTCTCATGGAGAGAGCTGCTCCTGATGGTTGCTGTTGGTTAGGTGGGGTATTTTTTTTTTTAACAATGGCACCATTTCCGACACTAAAAGCTGATTCACATTCATTGTAGCTGAAAGCTGTGGCACATGCAGCCAGCTGAAAAACGGCAATGATTAAAGAACACGTCTAACTCTTACAGGAACAGCCGCAAACAGCAGCTTTGCTTACAGTGTTCCACTGAACATGGAATCCTGATCGGAATAGAAGCTAATGAAATGAGGGTGTGTTTTTTTGCTTTTTAATTTGGCATGGCTCTGCAAAGCACACGGCGCTGAAAGGGATGAGTAACCAGCCCTTGATGAACTATGTGGGAAGAACATACTGCTGCCTGTACTGAAAAGCTCAGAGACTTCTCGAAGGAAAGCATTTCAACCTGCTAATAGCTCTCCTCCTCTGGGATAACCTTGGCATGACACATACTCTTGAATGCCAGAGGCACCCTGTCTCGAAGAACTTCCCCTTATTTCAGTTTGAAAGAACATTGCACAAGTAGCATTTTCACGCATCTGCACTCTTCTGGAGGAATTCTCTGTCTTCCACATAGATGCTGCCCCCCCCCTCCACGGAATCTTTTACATTTTGACTTTTTGTTTGACCTGGAGTCCTAAAGAACACCAAAAAAATCAAGCATATATATACTGAATGCTGCCAAACTGTTGTCTTTTTTTTTAATCTCTGTAGCTTACCCCTGATCTTCCACCACAACTATTTTAAATGATGTGGCACGTATCAGATATGGTAGTGTACTTCCTAGGGGGAAGAGTATAAAAACATAGAGCTAGGAAGGCTTTGAAGCTCATGCCCTTGAATCCATTGCATAATGACTGCTCAAACATAAGTCATTCTGCACCATGCAGACTGAACGC